AATTTATTTTGGTAAAATTTTTGTTTAGCACTGTTTATGGATTCCTTTAACTGTTTTTTCTTTACTTTTATTGTTTTATATAACAGTGAATTCCTTTTTGCTCTAGTATATGTTACTAGTTCATGGATTTCACTTTTTTTCCTTATTATTTCATTTGAATTCCATTTACATATATTTGATACTTTTTCTACACACATCATTTTGGGGAAATTGGTGTTAAAAATGTGACTGAAAGTAGACATAAAGACATTAAATTTTGCATCCACCGAAGATTGATAAACATCATACCAGTGTTCATTACTTAAGTCCCTAAGGAACATTTTAAAATTATTTTCAGTATACTTTCTGCATAACCTCTTCATTACCTTTTTGTTTGTACTGTTAACATTTTGTATTTCAAGCAATTGAGCATCATGATCAGATACATGAGTAATAACGCCTGAGACATTTAATTTTGTTTCAAAAATGCTGGTAATGAAGTTATCAATTGCAGTAGCTGATTTATCAGTATTCCTAGTTGGAAAGTCAACCCTATAAGACATGTTATATATATTTATGATATTTAAAAATTGATTGTACACATTATCATGATTTAAAACATTAATATTTATATCACCTGCTAATATGATGTTCTTGAACCTTTTTGTTAATAAATCTAGAGTAATATCCAGTTTTGCTAAGAAAGGTTGGATATATTTATATTCAGGAGTTCTATATAACCCTAACAATATAAACGACATACCATCTAGTATGATTTCAGTCATACAGCACTCAAATTCTTTCTCGAAAATAAGTATTTGAATTCCTTTAATATGTACTGTTTTAAAATTTACATAGTTACTAGTAAGTATTAGAACACCACCCCCAGTGGTTGAAGATCTGGTCCAATAGGATGCTATTTTATAATTTTTCAGTTTAAAATGAAACAAATCTGTCTCTTTCATGTTAATTTCTGTTAGAACAACAATATCTGGCTTAATTTCATCCAAGTTTACTTCCAAAATGCCTATACGGGTTGATAAATTTTGAATATTTTGATGAAGAATTAGAAAGTTTTGAGTGCTGTTTACAGAATGTGTTAATTGGTTGCTAGATCTTGGCCTATTTTTCTTAAAAAAGTGGTTACATTATGACATGATGTATTAATAGAATCACAGGTTAGGGGTAGGGAATTCAAGACAGGAGTGAACAATTGGCAATTTAAAGGTACTTCATTCACTGCACCAACACTATCACAACCCCTGACAGACAGCCCCCCATCACATGACACAGGCGCTGGTGACTCCTCCACAGGCTGGGTCATTTTTTCATTTTACTTGGGCCAAAAGAAGCAGCTACTTGATCCTGGTGATCTCAAGTCTGAAGTAGAGGTTCTACAAGTTGAAGGGGTTGACACGTCATCGTTTAATGGGCTACTTAAGGATGTTTCCATAGCAGATGAGTGTTCCATGGATTCCTCTACAATTTTAGTCCTAGTAACTGAAGCCAATTGAAGTTCTTGATTAACTGGTGAAGACTCCTGCTCATGATGATGATCAATAACTTGCTGTAAGCGTTTGATGAAGTATTGGTAGGGAACACCATTGTGTAATGGGCGGTTCGAGTGTTGATGGTAGCAGATTATTTGCACAGACGCTTTGGTTGCCTCTTGAAATTGAACCAGATTCCTGATGAAGTGATCTGGCCACACCTGATCCCTCACACAACCCATTGCAGAGCAAATAAGAACTTTAAGGTTTTTCTTCTTGAATTCCTCAGTTAACTGTTGGAAAGCATAGTCGTAATCGTAGTTTGTAGGTTTAAGATAGTATTTTGGTTTTGTTATTAAGCTAAAGACACTAGCTCCCTTATTAGTCTTCTGATAAGCTAGGTGACTGCTTAGGCAGTCTGAGGGTAATGGTTTACCAAACTCCTTACGGAAGGTAACTGCCACACCAGCACTTAGACTCCTTTCATGTTCCAGGTCTGCAGATATGGTGTGAGCAAAGCCAACAGATTCGTCGTTTTGAAATTTATTAATCATGCTTTTCATGCTTGTCTGAATTATACTTATTGGAGGTAGACTATGGTTGACTTTTCCTCTTATGTTTGATATTTCTTTGTTAGGCCTGATAGAATTTATAATGATATATGATAGCTTTTTCTTCCCCCTATGATTTAGATGTAGTCCATGACGTGTAAAATGAAATCTTTGTAGTTCATCCAGGTCAATAAGATGCACTTTGTTTGTTCTTATTGCTAATTCTCTGATATAACTATTTAATAAGTTGATATCATCATGACGCGGATCATTTAAGCCTATGTCATAGCGATTTGGTATTGTGGTAATATGTACAGATGATTTATCCTTACTTAGTTGTGTCAGATACTTTTCCAAATTGCTATAGATGTTTGAGGTTGTTTTTTTTTATTACATCATTGGTTCCAGCAATTATTACTAATGACTGATGTCGAGATCTGTTTGCTTGGTTATGAATCTTCTCAGTTGTAGCTATACTTACTACCTAAATTAGCAATAAGAAACATTTAAACAAAATACTATAGGCTACATTATTTTAAATTGAAATTACTAAAATCTTCTATTTTGTAAGGTGCAAGGTCAAGTAAGAATGCCTTCAGATTTTTCATAAATTTAGTTTTGTCTTTTTCTTTTTTTAAAAAGCTAGGAAGTTTTCTAAAAAAATAGTTTCCAATATAAGAAGGTACATAAACATAACATAACATAACATAAGGTATATAAAGAAGGTATATAAAGGTATGCTTTGAGGTCCTCCTGCTCTGAGACTCCTCATCCCTCCTTCTTCAATAGCCCTTCTCATTGGCTGATTACCGATAGGGTGTGTGGCTTATAGGTTAAAGCTGTTTCTTGGAAGTCAGCCCTACCGGTCATTGCCTAGCTCACGTCAGCTGGGAAAGGAATTTGTAGATCGATGCTCATGCTACTGTTCAACTCTGTTCACACCAACTGGTCGACTAAGTGTTATGTGAACAGAGTGTCTGCGTAGATGAATACTGTGGGTACAGGGTTAATCCCCTTTCTTACAGTTCCTATCACCAATGCATTCATATACTAAAAGCTGTTGTTCAACGATCATAAAGTCTAGCTTACTTTGTCAAATACACTAAGTGCTATCTAATATAAGTTATTTAACCAAACATCTAGCTGGGTAAAGTACTAAAGAAGCTTATGTAAACCAGACAGGTTAGCATATATATTTTGAATAAAGAAAGAAAATATAGTACCGTATCTTAGTTAAAGGTTGTTAAACTTTATTATAGCCTAAACAGTGTTAAGCCAGAAAATGTGTCAAGGTAAACATACATACACATGATTTATAATTAATAATCCATATGATTCTAAATAGACAGTGAGCAAGTAAGTTTCTTTCAACAATATATATAGGCTATCATAAAAAAATTAAAGTATAATTTATCAGATGCAGTGTTGCCAGATTGGCCAGAGTCCAAATCTATTGTATTTGGGGCATAATTATTGTACACATAACATATTTAATATTATGATATAAAAGTGCAATGCAAAGAATGAAATTATGGAAATTTGACTCTCTCTGCCGCTGCTGCTTACCGCTCTCGCTTTACTACTAAACTAGAAATACAACATTGGGTAGCACTACCCTAGGATGGCATCTCTGCTAGAAAATCGAGACGCTGTATGGAAATTTAGTTATGTAGATACCCACTAGAGAAATTAACCAGCACATTGGCTCATGACAAAGAGTATGCACACTCATGACTTTATAACAATTCCTCAGTCCCCTGTTTCCAATGTACTAAGAGCGATATACTCTACCCCTAGTACAAATGGCGTCCAAATCTCTCAATTCTCTCATTCAGTCCTACCTCCAGTTGTATCTCTAGCTCTGTGGCCTGCTGGACTCCACACAGCTGATGCTTTTCCAAGGTTGCCAGATCAGACCAAACCGCAAAGAAACTATGTTGTGTTTTTTTTTTTTTGTGGCATACACATGGAAATGCATTTGAATCAATATTAGGCTAAATACTTTATTTTCATGGCAACAGAAAACAATCTTAGTTTCTCTTGCCAATAATCATACTGGTACACATCGTAAAAATTATGGTAGGCCTAATAGGCCGATTTTCTAAAATTATTTTTGATGGGGAAGAGTAAAAATTTTGTATGAACGTAATAATTATCGTACACTTGGCAACACAGATGTAATAATGGGCTATAAGTAACGTGGCCATATGTCCTGCTGTCGGCGGGACAGTCCCCGTTTTACATGAAATTGTCCTGCTGTCCCTACAATCGGCTGTGGAACACCTAAATGTCCGCTTTGGCTCGGAGGTCAGACGTTTGAAATATTTACATAAGCTTACTATGAAAATTCTCCTTTCCCCACTAATTTTTTGTTCATGTAAGAATACTAGTTAGTAGCCTAATGTTGAGGAAAACTAAAAAAAACAGACCTATTAGCCTATTTAGTTATCTGTAGGCTACAACAAACAAGTCATCGATCGGGTGAGTTCGACTTTTTTTTAACGCTCGGTACCGTACTAATAAAAATTGTTTCTAACCGAGTGTTTAAACGTCACCAACATCTGTCCGCAATTTCCATCTGAAAATTTGCGTCCTTTGCTCAGTTCCTGCTGTTTACGTGCACTTGGTAAAGCTATCCTGTTTTGAGGAGATTTCTAAGTAAGGATGGCCTAAGTTTCATCCAATGAACTGAATTTAAATTCATGTTTTTATTCAGAACACCCTAATCAGATAGCCTAGGTTAAATATAATAAACCCAATTAAAATACCAATTTATTTTATTAAATTATTAGCCTATTTCTAGATTGCATATAACACTAGGCCTAGTTTACAATTATTATTTTTCAAAATTTGTCCCCCGACCACTGTCTAGCAAGGGCCTATTCCATACACCCTGGTATGGGGTGTTCCGCCTTAGAGTCCAAAATATATGGTCACGTTAGCTATAAGGTATCAATTTTAGGCATATCTTAGTTCTTACCTTGATGGTGTCAAAAGGATGTCCTACAACAACAGTACATACTCCCCCAAAACCTCCAGATAGAAAATACTTAAATGGACTTGATTCACTAGACATTTTGATTTAATACAGTAATTCTACTGACTATAAAACAGATTGAAATTTTAAAAATGACGATTAAGACAACACTTAACTTATTAGACTAGCACAGCCTTTCACAGACTAACCTACAAATTATTTTAAATGGGTATTTAGTTTAGTTTAAGTAATGTACTTTAAAAAGGCACAGATGATACATTTCTATATTGTATCAAGGGTTTCTAGTACCCTAACACATCAAGAGTGAAACTGCATTTTCTGGATTCATTGACTGCCTAATTTAAAACTAATTTGGTTATGTTTACGTCCAATGGTTTAATATTAATTATCTCATCTCGATCTCACTCGACCAGCAAAGCAACCAGCACCAGCAGTAGTAGTAGTGAGTAGTGTCAATAGTGTCATGGTGGAAGGAAAATTCATAGGTGTGCTATTCCCGTCAAATGTTGACGTCACTCAGATTGCAAACACCATTTTACCATTTAGAAAAATTATAAAAACAATAACAATTGAATCAAATCAAAACAAATATATACTTATATGGCAATACAATCAGCTGATTTTTTTGTTTGTAATCTGGGTGACGTCAGCAAATTACGGGAATGTGACACCAGACCTATGTATTTTCCTTCCACCTTCCACCATGGAGTATTGTAGTGGGGGTCACTGTCAAGGCGCCACCACGTCAAACCACCACCTCGGTGTTTTTGGTCAGAGGCGTCAACCCACCACCATAAAAAACCAAGGTGGTGGATTGACGTGTACATACACGTCTGCCCACAACCACGATAATCTTATTTATTAATCTTCCAAGTTTAACAATCTGGGCAGTATTTTATTTTTTTAGACGTAATTAGTTTTATTTGAGACCTGAATGTGTACATTTAATACAGCAAACACTTTGAATACCATTTAATAAAACATTAAAATACACTATTTTCGCTTCAGCTCTTTAACCAATAAAAATACCAAAAGACATTAAACACAAAGATTATAGCTAACTTTAAGGGTTGCAACGTAGTTTGTAATGAAACCCATGTTGCTATTTGAAATTTTTGAGATAACAGCTTTTGAAGCTCCAAAATGTTTGAAAATGCGTATAAGTAAAAAGTGGGTAAAAGGGTTGAAACCAGAGTTATTTTAAAGATGGTTTAGCAAAAAAATTTAATTTAGGTCAATTTTTTCATAGCCAAGTAACCAAGCTTTCGTATTCTTAAAAAATCACAAATAGGCATCAGCTGCCTCCAAACATGACAACACTACTGACAGAGTTGAAACTTCATGAAGGCCGCGGCCTGGAGTTAAAGGTGGTCTTGAAACAAACAACACAAACATGAAACACACTTCAGATGATTCAGATTTTACTGTAGGATGAGAAGTCTGCTTTTCATACTTAAAGTAGATTATAAAACAAAACAAACAAAATTATAACCAAAACGAAAAACTACTGGCGTGTTATAATCACATTTAATAGAGGTTTCAGTTCCGGTCCCTCATTTTGTACAGAACGAGCACTTTGCCTGTAACATAAATGAACAGTATTGAGGTATCCATGAAATTTTGACGTTACACTGGCAATAGACGGAAGGAAATATAGGCCCGCCTTACTGATTGCTGATCCAGAATTAGCTCCTAGGCCTAGGCTGCAGGTAGGATTAAATCGAATACTATTTAGCCAGAATTAACAAAACAAGTCGCATTAGCTAAGTCATAGCATTATTGGTTCAAGTTGGTCTAAATCTACTTACATCAATTCTATTAACTTTATGGTTAAATAACTAGGTAATCATTAAAAATTATTTCTCTTCAGGATAAGTGTGAATTTTGAAAACGATTCCTTCCGAGAGTAGCTCAGAAGAGAGATAACGAGACTAACGGAAAACTTGTTATTTTTGCCATAGAGAGAACAAACTTGTTGATCAAATGTATCGTCGAGTAACGATGGAATCAAATTATACTATTTCAGTTTCGACAACATGCGATGTTTATCATTTGCGACGTCAGTCAAATTGGAGTATTTTAGTTTTTCGATCAAATTTCAATGGTTGTCGGTCATATGGGACCCACCTGTTGCTAAATTGTTTGTTTCCCTATTATTATAATTATCTAGCTGCATTTGTAAGTCAAGATGGACTATATTTGTTATTATTTATTTTGTATTGAGAGTGACTATACTGTATAGCCTATTGCATTGCTTGATGGCCGAACAAATCATTTGAGTCATTCGAACTTCTTAGTACAGTTAAAAATAAGTTATTGTCTCTGAAAATAAACAAAACTCAAATTTGAACAAGTGACCTCTATCTAAGTGTGTGATGCAAAAAATGTAGGCTGTAAAGTTTGAGCTCGATAAAAATAAAGGGCACTTGGTGCTCTCAGTTGTCTTACTATGCAAAACAGATTTCAATATACTTTTGGAAAACATATATTTTTTTTATAAAATCCGCCATCCTGAACCTTATTATTGGGTTAAAATAACACTTATAGTACAATAGACTCCTGCTAATAAAACTAAAAAAAACTCTTGTTGGAATGACAATACTAGTAAAATAGTAAATACTGTAGTTCCAAATGTTGGACCATTCTTCTTGTACAAACACAGAATCACAATCAAGTGTTGTTTTACAGTTTTATAGAGTGCAGTGGCGTCGATTCACCAAATCCTTGGTGGGGGTGGGCAAGCGGGGGGGGGCTGGTCTGGGGGTCCTCCCCCTTAAAATTTTGCAGTTTTTAAACAAAAAAGAAGGGTTAAAGCTTACTTTAATTGTAAAAAGCAATTCGAATAAAAACAAAATGATGAGTACAATTTATTTTAATTTAGGCAGAAAATTAATGAAACTAACAATTTGACAACAGACAGAAACATAATATGTTGTTAAGTTAGTCATCCAAGAAACGTGATCAATAGTTCCATGGTGTATTAATATTATTTTTTAATTATATTTATGACCAAATTCTCTCGTACAACATTTAGACATATAGCAATGAATACGATTGTATTCATAGCCTATAGTTTATAACAGTTTAATTTGGTTTTTAAATAAAACACAAGTAGGCTATTTAAGTTCTTGAAAGCAAATCAAATTTTATCATCAATAAAATAATCTGACACAATTAATTTGAATGTGCTACTGATACACTAAAATATAATATTTTTGTTTCAAATTACTGTAGAAGAATATACAGATTTTTGTCTGCCGTGCTTTTTAGGATTTTACAGGAGAAAATATTTGTATATTAGCTAGTACAGCATATGTTTTCTAATTTCTACCATCCTAATGCTTATACTATGTAGTGCATTGGCAAACTGCATGATTAAATCTCTTGCCTGCTGGTAACTCAAAGAGAAGAACAAGAAGCAACAAAGTGACTATTGTCGCCCAATTTTAATATGCCGTTTTCCTGTTTTTGATGCTAGTGTTGATTTTGGATTTGGTTGCCGGATTGGTGGGGTAAAATCTCTTTTAAACTTTAGTTGACTGTGTTAGTATTTAGTTTTCAAATAATTGCAAAGGAATGGCAGGAAAAAATGATTTTTGTTTTATTGTTATTTTTTTGTATCTCGCAGTAGCGTTAGCCAAACAATTGGAAGATGTCGTTGAAGTAACTACAAAAGAAGGTAACTTAAGCTATCAGGCTTAGGCCTTAGCTGAGAAGAATTAATTATTGCTATGACTCCAGGGCTGTACCCAGCTATGGAAGGACTAAGTAAAGATAATAGGCCGGGTTCCCCCTACCCTTGAAGTATATGTTTGGCGGGGCCCCGGTAAAAATGTCCGGAAAACCGGTCTGAGTAGGCCTACGGCCCTGTATGACTCGAAATATTATGTTATGTTAGTTTAGTAGTGTGTTTATGTTGCCTAAGTACCTAAAAACTTGTTTCCATACAAATGCATTCTTAACCAAGACATTTGTTCTGCGTTGGGTGATAGGCCTAGGACTAATGAGTGATCTTGGTCTAGTTTTGCTATAATAACTTAAGTGCTAAAACTTACTATGTCATTTCAAATAAATAATAAAACATGTGTTAATTCAATAAATCACAAAAGAAAAAGGCAGGCATGGATTATTATATATTCTCCCCACATAGTTGGTCTTGGCTACCTAGATAAAGTATTAAGTTACCTATGATTTATATCCGCTCTCAAGGTTTAGGTGACCAACTGTTCTTAAAAGTGCCTATTTTGTTCAATTTGATACATTTTCTCCTAAGTTTATTTGGGTCCTTATAGTGAATTTACCATAAAGGGAATGAGCTATTACTGTAGGTTCATGGTAAGATCTAGACCCAGGACTGATTTAGTTTTAGCGAATTTCCCATACAGGGAATAAGCTATTACCGTAGGTCTCATGGTAAGACCTAGACCCGGGACCAATATACTTTTTCGTTTTGATTTCCCCAGAGGCCAAAAACACCATCCGTTCAAATTCATATATAGGCTATATATGTCCGTTAGTGCAATAACTCAAGCAAAAATGATCCGATGTTTATGAAATTTGGTACAAATGTGTAAACCTACGTTTATTCTAACAAGTTTGCGAACCAGCATGATCGGACTATGGAAACAGGAGTTTATGCGGTAAAAATAGATTTTTCCCATTTTTTACCCTAAAAACACAAAATTTCATAATTTCACTCCAAAACATTTGTAGACTTCAAAAAAAGAAATTTTGTATTTTGAACCGTTGTTGTAGGCTATGCCCAACGGTTACGGAGATAATGAAAAAAATTCTAAATTTAGAACTCCCATGTTATTGTTTTATAGAGTAGAGAATAAATAAACTTTTGTAGTTTGCTTGTTTATGGATATATTTTAACCAAATTTTGAAATTTGGTTTATTGCATACTAAGCTATCAACATTGCAATAAAAAACACACCTCAATATCATCCGTGTAGCACCAAACCTAAGTAAAAACTTACTAAAATTAATGTTACCTATTTAAATAAGAAATAAATCAGACAATTTTTAGGGAATATTTTAGTAGAAATCCAGCCAGATAAATGGAAATTCTGCAGGTTTGCTGCGGCGGATGTATTTAATGTTGAGGTCCTCATAGGCCAAAAACCCATACGTTCAAACTCATAATAGGTACTCATATTAGGATAAAATTACACAAATTTTGTTATATATACGTCCATTAGCATGGTAACTTGAGCAAAAAATGAAACATGTAAACCTACGTTTATTCAAATGAGTTCGCAAACCAGCATGATCAGACTATGGGATGTGGTTCTTTTGAAGGGTTTTAGGGGATAAAATTTGTTTTTCCCCATTTTTGACACTCAAAACATACAATTTAGAATCCAAAGCGTTGTTGTTGTTTTTTTT